GAACTCACGGACCGCGAGATCGTGACCTGGCTGAAGTCGGACGCTTAACCGACTGCGCCACCCAGGCGCCCCACAGAGGCAGTTTTTATGGTGGTAAAGGGCACAAGCATGCCATCTACGTAGGCTGATTTGGGGTTTTGTTCTTTTCCCCCTTTTGATCCCCTGGTAAACACCACAATAATCACCAGAGAAGGAATATAAAATGAAAGAAAAAGAGCTCTGTCTGGGCAGACTCCTGGCCCCCTGTCTTCGGAGTGCCCTCCTAGCCTCTGTCCGTTGATGTGAGGGCCGCCTTGTGGTTTGGATAGAGAGCCGGATAGGCAACTCTGCAGGGTTCCTTCTACAAGCTTCTCTGCTGACCTGCCTCTCAAGGGACTGTCAAGGGTGTTTGAATCAGAGCGGGCTCTCCCTTCCCCCAAGCTCCCTCAGACTCCTGTCCTCCAGAAAGGTCTGTTTACCGCAGCTGGTCTATCCCTGATGGGGGTGACACCTTCCCTGTTGTCTCCCCGCCAGGCTGCCCAGGCCCCAGAGGTGACCTATGAGGCAGACAAGGGTTCCATATGGACACTGCTGCTCACCAATTTGGGTAGGTGTCTGGGGCTCACCAGGCCTCCTGCCTCCCTCGCCTCCCATGGGCCAGGGCTCAGGGGGGCGGGTAGTAGGGGTGGGGCCGGGTGTTCGTGGGGCCCCTCAGTCAGTGGGCTCTGTTTGTGTACAGATGGACACCTGCTGGAGCCGGATGCTGAATACATCCACTGGCTGGTGTAAGTACCTGGGGGGGGGGCAATGGGTCAGAGGCATGTGAGGGAGCCCTGGATCCTGGAAAGAGCTGCCCCTGAATTTTAGTCTTGGCTCCACCGAGGATTAACTGTGGACCTTTGGATTAACCTCCCACCGCAGGTGGCAGCCCCTCCCCTCTGCTCTCTGATGCCACCAAGAGCCCTGTGATCCACTCACTGGCTGAAGACAGGTCCAGAAGAAAAAGCAGGCATTAGGCCTTAGCTGTTGCCAACAGGCCTGTTGGTCTCCCTGAACTCATTTCCTCCTGTGTAAAACCAGGGTGATGCCACCCCATGCTTTAGCCTCCCTGAGGGGTTCTATGACAATCAGATGTGAAAAGGACAGTGAGAGACCCCTGGCAGCTGGGGCTGCCCAAGCTGGGCTGCCTTTTGTTTTCTCAGTGGCCTTTGGCTCTGGAGCCAGGGGGGCAGAGGTCAGGCAGTTGACCTCAGCTTTGGGACTGATGGGTAATTGGGACCAGTACCTGGGAGGCTGGTTTCTACCATTTTTAGTTAACTGCAGTTACCAACGTGTACAGCAGGACTCTCCAGAGAGTTATATCTAGGGGAGGTATAGTAGCCATTGTGGTGCCAGAGCGGGCTCACACTGCCTGACAAACCCCAGAGCCTTCGGGGAAACACAGGGGCAGCCCAAAGATAGTGTGGCCAAAAGGCCGTGTCCAGCCCAAAAGGCCGTGGTGGCCCCACCGGCTCCCCATGGCCTATAAACAGGGCGCTAGACCTCATCCTCTTGTTGACCATCTCTAGGACTCTTGTCCTCAGCCTCTGAACCTCTACTGTTTCCAAGTGAGTGGTCCGTCCGAGGGTTCACAGAACTATGCCTCCTGCTTCACTGTTCGATGAAGGTCATGTTAGGGGGTGTCCTCCCAGGGAGTGATAGCACCTCTAGGGAGCATTCCAGCTGCCGCCTTTCTTGAGTGTCAGTTAATGGATCCTTTTCCTCCCACCAGAACCAACATCCCAGGCAACAGAGTGGCTGAAGGACAGGAGACGTGTCCCTACCTGCCCCCCTTCCCTGCCCGAGGCTCCGGCTTCCACCGTTTTGCTTTCCTGCTCTTCAAGCAGGACAAGCTAATTGACTTCTCTGGGGACACCCGGCCCTCACCCTGGTAATCTACACGTCCAGCCCCTCTCCCGGCCCCATTCCCTCTCGCCACCCAGGCCTCAGGCCACCTTCCCAGGATTGGTCTGCCCTGCTCAGTTCTCCTGTCTCTTACACTTGAGATGGGCAGAAGGGTAGTTGTGCAGACCATAAGGGGCTTCTCAGGATTGCCTGTGGGGCTGGAGGTGGGGCGTGGGGCTCTGATGCCTCATTCCCTGCTCTTAAATGCTCCCCATCTTCTTATAGCTATCAGCTTGCCCAAAGGACCTTCCACACTTTTGATTTCTACAAGAAACACCAGGAAGCCATGACACCAGCTGGCCTGGCCTTTTTCCAGTGCCGCTGGGATGATTCTGTCACCCACATCTTCCACCGGCTTCTGGGTAAGGCCAGAGTGGGCTAGGGGTGGGGGCTGGGGCGGGGGGGGAAGAGAGGGCGGTGGCCTGAGCTCACAGACCTCTCCTGACCTGCCAGGGAGAAGTGCCTGTCAGGAGGGCCACCTTGGGTGGACTGGCTGGGCAGTCCCGGGTTAGCAGACAAGGGGAAGGGGCTCAGGCTTGCCTCAGTCCACACCCACACTCCCTCCTCCCGCAGACATGCGGGAGCCTGTGTTTGAGTTTGTGCGGCCACCCCCTTACCACCCCAAGCAGAAGCGCTTCCCCCACCGGCAGCCCCTGCGCTACCTGGACCGGTACAGGGACAGTCACGAACCCACCTACGGTATCTACTAAGTGACCAGAGTGCCACCCACGCCAGAAAGTGGACTCAGCCTCTCAGGCTCCACCAGCAGGAACAATAAAGACACAGTTCCACAGGGCCAGCTTCTGGGTCCTGCTTGAGGGAGCTCTTCTGTGGCCCTGCCAGCAGGCCCAGGGTTTGGGAGTGAAGAGAGCTGTCCGAAGATGGTAGCAGGGGTGGGACATGTGAATAAAGATGATTTTTGTTTAAGTTTGTTTATTTATTTTGAGGGGGGAGGGGCACAGAGCCCAACACTGGCGTCGAACTCGAACTGTAAGATCATGACCTAAGCTGAAATCAAGAGTCAGACTGTTAACCAGCGGTGCCCCAAAGATGATTTTTGCCATAGCTCGTCTGAGTCTGTGTTCGGGAGCAGCCAGTGCTCCCTCCTCCAACCCCACGATGGATTTGTCATGCTTCACGAATGGAAAGAGAACCGCCTCCCGCCTCAGGAGGTGGCCCCTCACCTCTACCTCCCGAGGGTGTCGGGCCCTGAGATCGAGTGGCCAGAGAAAGGTACAGAAGGCAGGCAGTGGGGCTTGGTTGCTCCCACAGGCCTCTTGAAAGAGCTTTGCCAGCCCCAAGCACTGTCCCCTTGCCGTTGAATTCACAGTACAGGGCCAGACCCTGGCATCGGCTACTCTGGCACACCCCTGCTTGGGGCCCAGAAAGCCCCTGCAGCCTCACTGGCTGGTTACAGTATTATTTCTCCTAAGTAGCCAGTCAGGAGGACACCAGTGCACCTTTTCCGGGAAGAGGAGCTTCACGTATTACAGAAGACCTAATGCTTGCTGCATTGCCGTGAGCGGGCATCCTGCCTCAAAACTAAGGCAGGTTGGTTAGAGAAACCAGAAGTAATCCTCCTCCAGCTCACTGGGCCAGCACACTGCCCCAGGGCAGGTGGGTTAGAGCCAGGACCCCTCTCCTGTGCTCAGCTGCAGGGGGACCTCTATAAAAAGGGAGCTCTTCTTCCAGAAGAGCTTGCATCCGCAAACAAGGAACTCCCCAGCAGGGGACCCCCACGGAGAGAGGATTCCAAGGCCAGCTGAAGGTTGCTTTGGGTTTCCACTAAAAGGGGGTATGAAAAAAACACTGGATTGGTCTGTGTTGGTGATCAGAAATTTCCACCTCGCTGTTTACTTTAAAAGAACCAAAATTTGGCGCGGCCTGGAGAAAGGAGATACCCCAATCTGGCAAATGCCTGAAACTCCGCCCAAGGAAAAGGGCAGCAGAGCACCTCCCATCAGGAGAGAGCCTGTGTGCCCAGTGCTCTTACTGCGAGGCACAACCCCGCGCAACCTCATTTAATCGCCAAAGCTGCTGGGAAGTAGCTGCTGTTCAGGTTTTCAGATGGGCCCGTAAGGGGTTCCGTGGTGACC